CGTCAGATTTCCACCTCTTCCTAAACGTTGAGGATTTTACACCATCAGGAGAAAGTCTTCTACACCAGTGGGATACAAGCACCCCAGTATCGTTGATGGACCTCGGATGTGATGTTATTGAAGTTTTTGAGCAAACAACTCCATCAACACGACCATCATAGCTGAGCTCATAACGTTTCCGACACCGTTCGTAACACGCCGAAATCACTCCTTGGTGAGAGATAATACCAGGATATGGTAAGTAAGGATAAGATTTATGGATGAACAACTTCTTAGTTACAATATAAGCATCTGACAGCATACGCTAGTTAACCAGCGTTTGTTGTGGAGAAGTTTGGTTATACTCCTCGTAATTTTATTACGAAGACAGGCCGCGTAAATCAGAACTGCTTCTCTCAATAATAAATTGATCTCGTGATGACTAAAAGACCGTCTTTGTGCATGAGGAATGTAGACATCTTGACTGGTCCTAACTACATAAGGGATCTCAGACGTGATACAGACATTCCCAAACTGTCAAAACTCCAGAGAAAGGACTGTTTTGCTTCACGAACCTAAGCAACTAGATCTGATGTGTGAGTGGAGTTTACTTGTTGATGATAACAACCCTATCGAGCAGGAATAAAGCAACGACGACAGTAACTACAGGAGCGTCTAGAACGGAACGGCATGTGAAAACGAAGGCAATTTAAGCGGCATAGTTTATACATACCAGCGTCTTACGTACGGAGTGAATTGACAAGTTACGCGGGTGATTGGAGAGAGTGAATGAAAGTGTAAGTGAATGAGTGAATGAGTGAATGATTGGCAGTGAGTGAGTGAACACCAACTTGTTTGTTGTTCAACGCCGCATTCACCACATTTATAGTCGCCTCTTACGACATGCAAGCATGCATGCGTTGCCTCGGACCTATTCTCTACCCAATTCTTCACGGGTCGGACTTATTCTACTGTATATATAATTACAAGTATCTATGTATCTATGTCTATATATGTGTGTGTGTGTGTGTGTGTGTGTGTGCGTTGTGTGTGTGTGTGAAGGATGGACGCCATCGCGAAAATATTCACATATATCATGTAGGGCTACAGTCTGTGAATTAGCATACATGAAGACTAAGTGCTGGACAATTGAGACACGTATGTAGGCACGGCGATGGGAGCAAGGGATCAATAGATAAACACCTCCTCATTAGTGAGGAGGAAGTGCATAGCGAAGGAGTCACGTGTTGTGGTCAATTGGTCAGCATAGGTCGTATTGAACATGAGGATGGCCAACAGAGGTCGTACGGTGAATCATCAGAGATTAAAGAACGGGTTAATCCTTGTGAGGAACACCATGTGCCTGTCCGTTCGTGAATACATGACTGAGTGAGTAGGTCATTTAACATCGCTTTCAGCAATATTCAAGCAACACGTCCAGAAAGACAGGTGACTATTCCAGGCTTGGTATTTTCCTGCCCTTCTCCCGGCCATTCCCCGCTCCCTTTGCAAACCAGTGTATCCCACTCTATAAATGGTATTTGCACATTATTTGACGGGGAAAGGAGCTACCCAAAACGTCCAAATCACACATGGTCATGGTGGGTAGGATAAACGCACGCTTTAACTTGTATACCCCTCCTCCCACAAAAGACACAATTGGGCAATCCTCCCGTATTAAGCTGGAAATCGTTGATATGACTGAAAATATTGTTGTAATCTGCGACCAACTCAACCCTCCCTGTGTGTATGGAGAACAGTTTCTAAATCTCCTCAGACCGATGCATACCAAAAAACAAGACTAACTCTTCCTCTCTTCAAATACGTTTATCATAACAGACATTAGCTTAACCGTTACGCCATGTCTTCAAGATGCCTCTTTGCCCGTTTGAGATATCCGCCTGACAAACATCATGTGGTTAAATTCACTTTTGAAGGACCTATAATTTCCTTGAATAAATATCCGATTTACACAAATGATCAGGTGCCATTCTTCATATGTACTTATGGGGAAAAGAGTGTGTGTGATAGAAAAGCCTTACAGTTAGATGAATAAATAATCAATATAAAGCAGGTGCTCCTCAGTTTAAAATCGCCTTCAGTGGCTAGCGTGTATGGAAGTGATTAAGCTCGGGAAGAGGCTGAGGGCGTTAGGACTGTAACGACTTGCGGGATTGATATTTGTCAATTGTTGGTCCAGCGTTAGGTGATCACAAACAAATGATGGTTTCAGAGCAGCACAATTTCTGTGATTCATAATACAAGTAGGATCATAATGTTTCCATGAATCAATGACGTCGCCTTCACGGAAGGATGAGACAGTACACGCGGTGAAAGCATATGGTAGAAGTTACCATCGCCATGTCCATACACCCATCTTGCCATCCATTACAATCAGCTGGTTTCAGTCCCAAATGCCAACACAACCCCGAAGACACACAGCCTCATTGAACAGGAACCAATTAGTGGCGAACATTGTGTCACTTTATCATTAGGTAGCCTCCCTGCATCTGCCTGACTTTCCAGCCAGAGGCATTATTTTCTACTTGGCTCTAAATATGAGTCCTAAGGGTAGGCTTTAGACCCCCATCATATACCGATGTATAACCAGCTGTACACGGGACACCATATATAATTATATAACCACCTCTACACAGGACAACATATATAAATATATAAACCAGCTGTACACGGGACACCATTTGTAATTACATAACCAGGTTAGGTGGGTGAGGTGAAATTGGGTTTAACGTCGCGTCCAAGATTATTGCACTTATATAGCGACGTGCATGCACGTGTGTGTGTGTGTGTGTGGCTGCTTGTACTAGTCCGGACTGATGCCGATTTATAGTGCTAGCTCACTGAGATACCATGCCGCAGTTTAACATGAATACCCCACTCAGACACAGTATACTGACTCCGAGCCGACCAGTCCTTGTTATAGCCCCTTAATGTCGAGCGCCAGACAGGGTAACAACAAGTACCATCTTTTAACATCTTTTGGTATGACGCGGCCGGGGATCGAACCCCGGACCTTCCGCTCTCCGGGCGGACGCTCTACCACAAGACCACGGAGGCGGCAATTATATAACCACCTCTACACGGGACACCATATATAATTATATAATCACCTCTACACGGGACACCATATATAATTATATAATCACCTCTACACGGGACACAATATATAATTATATAACCAGCTGTACACGGGACAATATATATAAATATATAACCAGCTGTACACGGGACACCATATATAATTATATAACCAGCTGTACACGGGACACCATATATAATTATATAACCATCTGAACACGGGACAACATATGTAATTATAACCACCTCTACAGGGGACAATATATATAATTATATAACCATCTGTACACGGTAAGATCCCAGTTAGAACTGGTCTTCTGCGATTCATGTAAGGGGCAACTAACGGGATCGGGATATTGCTAAGTGCGGCGTTACACAAAAAACCAAACAAACAAATCTAACGGCCACCATTGGACACTGAGGGCCTGTTCCTTGCCGGAGTTCCAACGGGGATCGCAGCAATGAGCAGAATTGTAACTGATGTGTATTCATAACTCTTACATCCTTTGGCAGAACTTACCATTGACAGACGGGGCACCACGTTTAAAAGTCAGTGTTGTCAATAGGCCATTACAATGTTGAAGGTGAGGTGAGGTGAAATGGGGTTTAACGTCGCGTCCAAGATTATTGCACTTATATAGCGACGTGCATGTACGTGTGTGTGTTTGTGTGGCTGCTTGTACTAGTCCGGACTGATTCCGATTTATAGTGCTAGCTCACTGAGATACCATGCCGCAGTTTAACATGAATACCCCACTCAGACACAGAGTACTGACTCCGAGCCGACCAGTCCTTGTTTTAGCCCCTTAATGTCGAGCGCCAGACAGGGTAACAACAAGTACCATCTTTTAACGTCTTTTGGTATGACGCGGTCGGAGATCGAACCCCGGACCTTCCGCTCTCCGCTCTCCAGATAATCCAGTGATTGACATCATGAGCATCGATCCATACAATTGGGATACGATGACACGGATCAATCAAGTTAGCGAGCCTGACCACCCGATCCCGTTAGTCGCCTTCTTACGAGAAGCATAGTCGCCACGGCAAGCATGGGTTGCTGAAGACCTATTCTACCCCGGATCTTCACGGGTCAGGATGGGTATAAAAGTAAGTATAAAACAACTAACAGTAACGAACAGGATTTTCATGTATGGTGCTGAAGGAAATGTTAGCTCAGATAAACGATTTAAATAAGCAACACCTGAACTCATTTTCGTCATAAAATCTAAAATAAACTCGAGCAGAATAGTAACGGAAGTCTTGTAAAACAAGTTCCAGGAACTGTAAGCTGGAGACGGAAACAAGTGTCTGGCAATTCCTGGAAGTTTCCCGCCAAAATCGATTGCGTACCTTTAAATAGACGAGATTGCAAGCCGTCACGTTGTAAACAAACTTGTTTACTATTCACGACCGACAACACACAGATAGGTCCGTACCCAGGTACTCAGCGTGATGCTATGGACTCATTTTCTGGACCAAATGTCAAATAGCAGCAGATAAACGATGCATAATGCAACAGCTTCATAAAGTCCAAAGGCCCTTCGTGTACGTGTTTTCACGGCGTCAGTTCTAAACATGTGCTGCAACGTACTACAAATTCTGTTTCAGGATCCTCAAATTCTAATCAATCCAGGCACGCACATGCTTGTTAATAAAATGAGAAGAGTACAATTTGTTGAATTTATTTTTAATTTGGTAAACGGGATATTGAAGGTGGCAGAATCACTTGGTAGAAGTAGGCGTGATGTAGCCATTTCATAACATTCATGTAGTCGTCAATAGTTTAGTTAGTCAAACGGATTTGTTTTCCTGAATTATAGGAATTTTTCCGGAACTTTTCACGAAGCATTATAAATCGATACATTTATGTACGGATAACACTGATGGCAATTCAAATAAAGGTACGTCATAGAAGATCCTACCTCTAAGGATGGCATTCCTCTTGGATGTCCAATGAGACCAGACGACAATACCAGCAGCCGACTCTCGGCAGACGACATTACTTTGGCGCGAAACAATCTCCGTGTATTTCCCAGGACCTGTTGCCACGGCAGAAAGTTCATTACATATCTCGGGAAGATTTTTCCCAGCTCTAGAATAATGCACGCTAAGCAACAAAATCACGTGCAACAGCATCAAAACACACCACCTTCCTTGTGTCGAACGCATTTCTAGATTGTGTTGACTGGAGGACCAGCGAGTGCTTCTGGTGTACACAAAAGCTTAATCCAGTGTCAGCCCGATATTCTTATGACATCACGTCGTTGACTAAATAACTTTGACCTCTTGCATGAGCATCTCTTGGGGTGAATATTGCGAGATTCCTAGAAGCAAGATCTCTTGTAAATGACAGAAGTAATTCCACTGAGGCGTCGGTTGTGAATAGTGATAGCACCGACTGATTTTATGCGTAGATGGATTCGGAACTGGGCCCAATCAAAGTGCTTCGTCTGCCACCCTCTCAGCTTATGACGTGCTTGATCTGGGGACTTTTAACGCTACGCTGAAACCATTGTCTTGTGTGGCCTGGTCTGAAAGTGTGAAAAGCGGCAAAGCGGTAGGGTTTCGGTGCGGATGGTGTTCTCCCATGGAATCCTTCTTATCGATCCGTTATGCTAGCCCACTACCCCTAGGCTTTCACGTTCGTGTCACTCTTACGCTGTCGATGTGTCCATCTAATCGCCACGCTGCTAGCAGAGGATGCAACACCACGGACTAGGCCGGCGTGAGACTAAAACAGTTGTCGGAATGTTGGGAGTATCGAACATTGACAGCTTCCATAGGATTTTGACTTTGTTTGGAGGAAGAGGACTGGGATGGGAAATGACCATTAAACGACCATCGCCTTGTGTAGACGTGCAGTGAGATTTGATAAATGTTCATGTACGCACAACGGGGAAAGTCAGATTTTCGTTACAGAAATGTTTGATGTATTTGGGTATTGAACACCACCATGCAAGCAAGGCAGTGGATCTATGATAGTGAATATCTAATATGGGACTTCAATGAACTCAAAATGATTGTTTTCGTGTATTTTCTGGAACAATTTAAAATAAATAATCTTAAAATTGCAAATTATTATACAATGTACCTAGTAAGCGTTAGACACCCGTGTTTTAAAAATGAGCTTAGCAATGCTGATTACGATACAGATAATTTAGATATAGACGATTTAGAATCGGGATATTTGCTGTCATCGAGGAGCCAAGTCTCTGGATTGGCCATGTTATATCCGTGCTCGAGGTTTTATTAAAGTGGTAAACGTCTAAGGCCTGCATCACTTTCATCTCCCATTTAATAATACACACGCCGCGATGTAACTGGACTGTTTCCCACTGCAGCGTTTAACCTAACTCACACACTCATCGTTGTGCTATAAACATTATGCATGGCCTTGATCTTTTTCAAATGCCATCGATGCATCATAACTACATGTATTTCAGATATAGACCAAGGCAATATGATATATGAATATAAAACATCAACGCCAAAGAATAACCAGTCTCAATTATCTGCCGAAGCAGATTCCATTGGGCGTGGTAAAACATAATAAAATTATATATATATGAATGTATCGCTGAAAGCCAGTGATGACACCAGGTGTTCGCTCATGATCGAAATTTATTCGAGACGCAGAGATATCGAGGTTTAGATTCATACCCTGACGCTGTAGCTGAAACTCGACCAACACACTCCATGCACGCATTTTACCTGCATCCACGTTTTACAGTATTTCACAGTTTATGTTTGATCTTTGTTAGCGTATATATTAGCACTTGCCCGTGAAGAGATCACCTGTTTCATAAACATACAGCTGTGTTACACATTGTGTAATACCAAAGCGCGTGCTTATGTACTGCGGGGATTAGTTACACTAACAAATATTGAAAGCTCTCAGTATCCCTTAAATTATTCAACGACTTTGCCTGAGGAGATGATAGATCACTGAGAGGAGCTTATGCACACTCAATGACACCAGCAACCCCGTTGCTAGGCTGACGTCACATGACATTGTTTCGCCGGTGGATCTTGCAAAAAAATTCCACAAATCACGTCATAGAGTATTGTGACGTGATTGTTAACTTTGTGGTGCAGGTCCCGTTGCACAAGGCGATCGTATTGAAGCGCAACGACAGTCGAAAGTTAAAGTATGTGAGTTACGATAACCTCAGCGCTACGATAACTTCGTGGAACGGACGTTTAAATTCTAAAGGTGGGCCGTTGTATGGTATTTAATTAATATGTGTCAACGTTTGACATGTTTTGAAGCTTTATTCTGCTAAACTAATTCGGATTACGTTGTGGATCGTGTTGGTGTCTGCCTATATTCGTAAAATTCTAAAATAAAGTTATAAATGGCAAGTAATAAATACAATACTAAACTCGCTCATGTGTAATACCAATTTTTTGAAACTCGTGAATAGTTCTGGTATCTGACTAGCTTTCGATCGTGAAATACCAGAATTAGTCCCTCCTTTCATAAACTTGGTATTACACAGGAGCTCGTTGAATTCTATATGTACCACATAGTCAACAATAGCAATATCAACACAAATTCATTCCAGTGAAGAAATAATACATATATTTAAACATCACTGCCTTTGTTGTCATACTTGGGCATACTTTGTCATTGGGTCTGCAGGGTAGCCTAGTGGTGAAAGTGTTCTGTCGTCAAGCTGAAGACCCGGGTTCGAATCCCCACATAGGTACAATGTGTGAAGCCCATTTGTGGTTTTCCCCGTCGTGATATTGTTGGAATTTCGCTAAAACCCAAACTCACTCATTCATTTCTATCATAACTCGACGAAAGGACCCATGAAGATCCGGGTTAGAATAGTATTTTTCAGCAACCCATGCTTACCATTAAAGGCGACTATGCTTGTCGTAAGAGGCCACTAACGGGATCAGGTCGTCAGGCTCACTGACTTGGTTGATGCATGTCATCGTATCCCAATTGCGTGGATGGATGCTCATGATGTCGATTATTTTTCAGACCGCCGTCATAAAGCTGGAATATTGCCGAGTGCGGCGTTAAACTACAAACAAACAAACACAACTTGACAGTGTATTATAGTAGATATAGAACTGTTCATTGCAATGATCTTAGCGAATTTATACAGGACGAAAACTGTATACTTGTGATCTGGATTTTAAAGCGGGTCAGTTGAATGATTTGTGCAATATATTTTACACACACACACACACACACACACACACACACACACACACACACACACACACACACACAACCTACTATATCAATCTTCTTTCATTAATTTTCAGATGTAATTACATATACATGTTGGAGATATGGTCTATTTAAACTACTTTAAAACCTAAACGCAACTAAGATTTATTAAATGCTGAAAACTATCCTGGATAAAGTCTAGCTACATCAATTGCATCATCTTGATGGAAGCCCAGGCAATACTGCGCAAGTGGTCATATTCTTCATAAACACTCCAAGAATATCACTGGTAAATTATTCAATTCGTCAGCTATATTCATAGCTGGAGCAGGACCAGAGATCAATTTGGCACACCACATAAGGCAAAGTATACCAACTCACCTGCAGAGAATAGATGGTGCCATAGAAAATTGTTAAATTGCGTTTCATCTGTAAATTATCACCACAGCCCCTGCATAGAAGCCCAGCTGAAGAGGGTTGAGATAGAAATAGCCTTACTCGAGAGATGATACAAAACTGTTGACTTTGATCTCATGACCAGATCCATAGGGAAATCAGCTATTAGAACTGCAGTACATTTCAAATATGATCATAACTATTATCGATTGCCCCGACCACGAGGTGGACCAAGAAAAACCCTTTCATATATTCCGTTTGTTTCCTTTAATGGTCATTCCTGATGAAACACTCTCGTGTTTATTGTTCTCTTTTCACAGGAGATTCCGTCATTAAACACAAAGGCTCGTAGTTGTCTGGGGGACAATGTTCCTCCAAGCAGGTTACCTGATAGGAGACATACGTCATGATGGATAGACCAAAGACGGTCACCAGGAGATTGCCTAATAACATTAACCGTCTCCCAAAATACAGTCTGGCCACTGTTTTAACGCATAGCGAGATCTATTCTCGGCGCCTGGCACCCTCTTGACCTTCTCTGCACGATCTGATGGCACAGGGACCAGTTCTTACTGTCTGTTTCAAGACGCAAATGAGAATATGTACATTGAAACCGGGTTCGCCTCGATTCAGTTTGTTTGGAAACCTCACTTTCTGGACGATCATGGTGGAAATGTCTACATATACCACTCAAAATAAGTAAAAGAACACCGACAATACTCACCAGCCATGGCCAATTAACCATTGTCATATGAAAAAAGGGTGTTTTTTAGTAGTACTGTATATATAATAAAAATATGCTGTAACAAAGATGCGTTCATATGGAAATGTGTTGATCATGACGACTGCTATGGGAACCGTACCATCAGACTAACCAAGTTTCGATGTATGTCACTTATGAAATTCAATTCTTTCGGTCCATTAGCTGGTTAATGATGAGTAGATGTCTGTATTAAAATAATCTTATACTTTAAATCATATTTGATTTTTCGATTCAAAATTGTAATCAATCACCATGAAACACACACAATTATCTGACAGAAGATAATTGAGATTAAGTACAGATTCTTTTCATGTGAGAATTTTAATTAGTCACACTCCCGTACTGTGTAACTCAGACTCAACAACTCGATGGCAGATTATGTGCTGATGTGTATGATAATGTGATGATATATCATCCGTAAATATGATATTGGTTTCAAAGAAGATATGTGTGTTAATGAGGAATTAAGAGTACACGTTTTGTTATTTGCGTAGTAATTGAGAAAATGATGGCTGGAAAAAAATGTTTGGAACCGGGAGGTTTCAAGTAATAAAATTTGGTTCATCGAATACTCAAAGACAAATCTCAAAACATCATATCTAGCAATTGTTTCGAAATATAAAACCTACCTACCATTTCCTACATGTACGCAAATAGTTGTGAGGACATAACGTCACTCAAGAATTGAACGTCAGTTTGTATGGGTTCATTAAAGTGTGAACGATTTAAAAGCGCTGGTTAAACTTTCGTGTGAACCTCCGAGCTTGCAGTTTCGTTCACACTTCAATTAACCCATCCAAACTGACGTTCAATTCTTATAATTTCATACTTTGTAGTTTACTGGTCTCGCCGAATAATATCGTAACAATGTTTGCTTAAATTTGAAGTCCTCTGGTTTCGCCGAAGAACATTGCAACAATGTTATTTTGTCGGTATTTGCCGGCTCTCGGTCACATACGTTTCCCCATTCAACGACAGGGTATGTTATATTTGGAGTTTGGGATTTGTCGCGTGTGCTGTAATACTTTGCTCAGCTGGTGTTTCTTGTCACCTGAGATGGACCTACTGTACATAACCACCTTCATTTCTGTGCCCCGTCACTCCCCCGTCGGCCAACTCAGAAACCGGAATAGTAGATTTCTGATTCCGTCTACGGATATTTTCTCGTCTCCGATGACCAATCGGTAAAACAGGTAGGCAAGTTTGTTTGTTTTTGTTTTAAAAAAATTATGTTTATGTTTTATGGTTTCTCAAAATACTAGATTTTTTGCCCGATACGATAGTGAATCGGGTTTTAGTTTGGGATGGATCAGGAGCAGTCGCGTTTGCTCTGTGTCGGTGTCACATCTGAGCAGGGTACTACATTGTTTTCATTGGTGCTAGATTCC